GCATATAAAAAAATATTACATAAGTCACTACTCAATATTCAATGAACAATTTCATCTTTAAAAAATATAAGTCACACAACTATATAAGACATAAGTTCAAAAACACAATAAGAGCTTAACAATTTCTACAACTAAGTTCTAATACATCAAAAGGATAAAATTTAATAACTCCTAAATTATATCAATTGATTCAAATCAAACATATCATCTTGCATCAGTTGTATGTCCTCTTCTCTTGCTCCTATAACAAGTTCATTTGCAATAAAACGTAATAGATAGATTCAATACCCACCTCAGCTTGGTACTCAAATTTTTCACCAGTGGCTTTACCCTCTTCTTTTTCTACAATAGCGACTTCGCGTGAGATTTTTTTTTTCATTGTGCATTTTGTCATTTTGATTTAGAGGAATGAAAATAGGTTTTTTTTTAAATAAATAAATAAACCTAGTCTTCCGTTAAAAGTTGACCTGGTTCAGTTTTTTGTATTGTTTAAATAAAAACATAGTGTTTCTACCATTTTTACGTTTTTACCAGTTTTTATGGATGAGAGTTTTTACTTGTATTTTGTTCCGGATGGCCCAACAAGAGTCAAGCCCAATGATCAAGGCCCAGCACCTACCACGCGTCCACGTCAGCCCTACCTGCTGGGGCGACGCACACCCCCCAACGTGGTAACTTCCCAAGGTTAAACACCAAAGTATCCTACCTTGGGACCTCAACTCCCAAAAGCAGTCGCCCAAATGCCATAAGAGGAAGTTGTCCCCCTGTGACCCACGCTGACACCACCAGACGCAGAAGGCACAGCGCTGCTATGATGGCAGCGCCTGTCACGCCCAACACTGCCATCGGTATGAGACCCCAAGGAGAGTTGACCTTCTCCCCACCAACCTTCACCAAGTAAGCATAATCTTCTCTAATAAATAGCCCCCCAGGGGCACACTAGAAGGTATCTTATGTATTGTTATTATGCCCATTTCTATTAAGTCACATATTTAACCATCATTCCTCCATTGTTATTAACTTGTTATACTTGGAATCATACCATCTAGCCTGGTCTTTACCTAAGATAGGGGTATCATTCATATAGTGACAACCCCCCAAAGGGAACATAGTGGGCTTATAGATTCCAACGGTACATTAAGCTAGGGGTATCATCCATATAGTGACAACCCCCTCAAAGGGAACATAGTGGGCTTATAGATTCCAACGGTACACATTTTAACACGTGTCACTTCAGTAAAAATGTAAAAATATATATTTTTACATTATTTTTTTTGACAATAATGTGTATGACACTTCCAATATATATATAGAGAGAGAGAGAGGGGGCAAGATATTCTTACATCGGTGTAAGAGTTAAAAATCTTACACTTAATTTTGACCATTGATTCACTTGTATCTAATGGCTGACATCACTAAAAAATTAGAGCTCTTAGATATAAGTGGGATCAATGGACAAGATTAAGAGTGTAACTTACACTGATATAAAATGATACTAATCATATATATATATATGAGAAAAAAAATATATATATATATATATGTATATATATGAGAAAATTAAGGAGCCAGTTCCGAATCACAAAGATTGTTGGGTATGATGTGCTTTGTTGGGTATTATACTTGCTCGAAAGGCCTCCAGGACAACAATGTGACAGAATCCAAAGCTCCGTCTCTTTTTGGTCATTACTCTACCAAATACAAAAAAATGGTATCTAGAAATCACATGGGCTTGTTCCCATGTCCATACTCGAGTGCATTCATGACGAAACAGGCCTTGTACTCAAAACTATAATCACTTAGGGTTGCTAAACAAGTCAGAGAACTTTGGTTTGATTCGTGAAGGTCTAATTTTATATATTTAAAATTGATTATTGACAACCCCCAAGGGTAGCTCAGTTGACAGCTGAGCTCCCAAGGGATTGCTTGATGCAGGGATCAAACCCTGCCTCAAGCAGTTTCTTGAAAAATCTTTGGGGGCCAGAGGATAAGCTAAAAAATCTTCGGTTGGAGGATTAGTCTCGTCCTTTCTCCGGTTGCGAAGCTTAGTGCACCCACTGTTACAATGAGGGGCTAGCCCAAACGGGCCGTACCCCGAGGGCATGGTGCCCGGAGAAGGTTGAAAAATCTTTGGGGGCCAGAGGATAAGCTAAAAAATCTTCGGTTGGAGGATTAGTCTCGTCCTTTCTCCGGTTGCGAAGCTTAGTGCACCCACTGTTACAATGAGGGGCTAGCCCAAACGGGCCGTACCCCGAGGGCATGGTGCCCGGAGAAGGTTGAATGGGGATACCTCCTGGCAATGTACCAAAAAAAAAAATTGATTATTGACATCAGGCTTGAACTTATATAAAAACTCGTATAATAAAAAGGTCCCAAACTCCAATACAAAAGCTCGGCTTTATAGCCTATCAGGCTGGCCTAATATATTATTATTTTTTTATATTTTTTATACTACTTGTAATAGCCTCTCTTTCTTCTCAATCCATTTTATCCCATTTTATTGGTTAAACTGACTTTTTGAATGATTTTGTTCTATATTATGATGTTTTGTATACATTGAATTTATGATATTTATGAAATTACTAGTATTGTTGATTGTATATTCTGTTTGGATAAATTTTTGTTATTTTATTTTTTTTAAACAGGTCAAACTAGACTTTTATTTTTTGTAAATAAGTCAGTCTATAGGCCAATAATAATATTTATAACAGGTAACAGGCTTGGTCAGACTGACACATTTAAACACAGACTTAACCTTTTAAGATCAAAGCTCAGCTCGGCTCGGCCTGTTAAGACTCTTATCATCAATCACTTTCAGCTTCTATTGTTTTTTTTTTTTTTTTTTTTTTTTTTTTAAATTCAGCTTCTATTGTTTGTATGATATGGAATTCTAAAGCTACAAATTCAATCCAGGAATATATCAAAATCAATTGTTCTTGTCACTATCTCGTGATAGGCATGCTCCTTCCTTTGTTAATTTCAATTTATAAAAGATGAAAATAACTTGTACAATGTGCTTTGAGGTGGTAAACGACTCTGACAACAAGTTCAGAATATTGAGCCAAATAAAAGAAAACCAAAATAGCCGGTACCACTGTTGTGATGAGAACTACCTTAAGAAATGGCTAAATCTTGTGTGCAGTCACATGCTTAAAAAATTAAATACCTCTTCATAAGATGTTTTAGCTTTTGCTGTATTAATGAATTCAATTAAACAATGATTTGGTCATATGGTGCGCAAATTAAAATACCATATTATTTACTTTGCTTTATCGATCCCTACGTTGAAGCAGTGAGAAGATCAAACACCAAAATTAGTTGCATTGCTTTGTGATTGTGACTGTTGCTAGCAATTTTTCTCGGGTATTTTAAGCCCATTTGCTCTAACGATCTCCATTAGTTTTATTGAACTAAGGTCTAAGTAGTTCATATAACATTATTTAACATTTTAATTTGAGCTAAGCTAGATGAATAAAATTCAGTAAAACCTACTTAATAGAAAAACCAAATTAAAGAATTGTTTGGAGTTAAAGCAATTGTATTTTATTAGTTAAATAAATTATTATTTATTTTTTTTGGAAATAAAATAAATTATTATTAATTAGTATATAACTAATAAATTATTATTAATTAGTATATAACTAATAAATTATTATTAATTAGTATAAAATATATATGATTGCTACTTTAAATTAAGGTCATTAAATAATTGAAAATCCTAACTTCGCTCCAGTTCATTCGACAGCTCGATTTACCCTATCAATTTCATATTTGATGTGATAAGAAAGGAAACACGAAATTAAGGCATATCTTTCGTTAACATTTGAATTTAATTTTCAAACGTCTCAAGCTAAAATGACTAATGTTGATTGTTGAATATTTTGAAATACAATCTTACCTAATATGACCTACCTAACCGACAAGGGAGAACGTCATTAAATATTTTATCATATTTATTAAACGGAAATGATATATAACAATCAAGTTGTGTTATTATTACTACCAATCAATCTTATTGTTGGATCGATTACCAATCAATCTCACCGTTGGATCGATTACGTTGATCTAACGATTATATTTATTTTCATCTTTGTATGGTCATGATTTCTCAAATTTAATACTTTTTATTTATTTCCACCTTTGTATGATTATGATTTCTCATATTTAATGCTCTCACTTTAAATCTTTTTAACATAAATCTGAGAATGTTAGTAACAATAGTCGATCTAACGATGAAATTTCTAACGGCGAGATTGATCGGTAATAACAGAAACGATCCTTACAATATCCTTCCTTTTTATTAAAAATTACCGTAAGAAACAAAATTTTAAAGTGACAAAATATTTATTAGAAAAACAAAGTTTTTAATCATTATTCGTAAGGGTGTTGATTAGATTTTACCTCTTAAGAAATGATATAATATAACCATGTCTTGATCGAACCTTAGTTAGTATCTATGCATTTACGATCAACAATACTAGCACATACATTATCTTATTGAATTAGTATTTTTTTAATAAAAAGAAGAAAGGAAAAGCAACATGAAATAGAAGAATATGAATATAATGGAGGAAAAGAAAAGCAACATAGAATAGGACATTGTTACACCTATAAAGAGCAATTGCATCCTTTTTGAATATTCAGATGGAGACAAATTGGAATGTGTCTGTGACCGGGATTTGCGTCCGATCCATCCCAATGGCAAACCTTACTTCAACTTTCTCCACTTTCATTCATTCCTTTTGGTCCTGACCCTCACAATCACCATCATCATCCCCTTCACTCTATTATTTATTTCCCTTTTTCAGATATAACATAACACACACACACACACACAAACACTCAGATTCATGAACTCATTTTCTTCACACTTTAAAGCTTGGCATTTTCTAGTGGCCACTTGTACCATCTGTTGAAAAGTCAAAATCCCCCCCCCCCCCCCCCCCCCCCCCCCAACAAATCTTTTTCTCTCACCCCCACACCTTATTCTTTCCTTCAAACATTTGCTACCCTTTTTTTTGTTTTTTTCCTCCGAAGTTTCACTCTTTTATATCTATTCTGATTCAAAGTTTGAGTCTTTCCCATTGGGGTGCCTTGAGTTGACGTGCAAGATCAGATCTGTTTACGTGAGTCTTAATTCAAGTTCAAGTATGTTATTGTCTTCTTATTTGGGTTTCATTTGCTGGGTTTTTTATGTTGTGATTTTTATTGGGTTTGGTTTCAATTCCATTTTTTGTCGTTGTGTGTTGGTTTCTGTGTCCGTGGCACATTGACTAAATATGTAACCACTTTTGTTTCTTATTGTGATACAGGTTTTTCTTGTGGAGCAAACGATTGAAGTAAAACATTGTATCTATTGACTATAGCTATGAACTAAAGCTGTGGTTTTGAAGGACTAGAGTGGTGTGAATGTGGATTTATTCTAAATTCTAAAGCTATATTGCAGATAGCAGAATTGGGCTGGGTTCACTTTTGGAGATTCAGAGAATTCACACTTGAATAACTGAAGAATTTAAAAATGATTTTGAGAAAAAACATGGGACGGGCAAAGTCACTACTTATGCTGCTTATGGTGCTTGGTTTTTCCTTTGCCACTTATAATTTGGTATCTATGATCATAGACCATAAGGGTGGAGTAGGGGTGGCAGATGAGTTGGAATCTTTTGATGGAAACTTACATTCAAAATTCCATGTTGCCCTGACTGCAACTGATGCTGCTTATAGCCAATGGCAATGCCGGATTATGTACTACTGGTATAAGAAGGTGAAGGACATGCCTGGATCAGACATGGGAAAGTTCACCCGCATTTTGCATTCAGGAAGAGCAGATCAGTTGATGGATGAAATTCCTACTTTTGTGGTTGATCCACTTCCTGAGGGCTTGGATCGGGTAAATATTTTTCTGTTTCTGCTGGCAGAATATGTGTCTTTTCTGCCCTTTTAATCTTATTTTATTTTGGAGAATTACTGATCTAATATCAAATTTAAAAATCCTGACATACAGAATAAACTCACTCCTCTCATAACTTGGAGAGAGAGAGAGAGAGAGAGCAGTAGGTGGGAAAATTGAGGTTGTTGTTTGGTTAAAATAATACATTTCAATCTGTTGCAACTTAAGTGTGAAATAAGATGAACCTATTTGGCAAATTCAGTGGTCTAAAAGGATTCCCAGAAAAGAGGAAAAAGAAGAGTAAGAAGTACCTGGCTGATCTCTCACTTCCTTGTAATCTAGACTTAATGATTGTTGCAATGTCAAATGTTCTCCTCATAATAGATAGGGTTCATTTTTTCTATAGCTAGTGAGGAAGTCTCTAAAAAGAGGGTCAGCATGGAGTAGTGGAAAATCTTCTCCTTTGTGATTGAAATGTCACCTCTTTGCAAATAAGCAAGGGTAAGGCTGCTTATAAGGATTGCTCTCACCCTTATCCTCATTAGTCAGGTTTAATGGTGATTGGTTTTTTGGTGAGGAAATCTCTTTTGCCTTGATAAAAATGCAATGAGATGAGATTAGATCATGAGAGTAAGGTGAAGTAGGATTGGTTTACATGATGGTTTTGAAAAGAGTTTTTGGATTTGAAAAGTTATTTTCAATTTATTTTTTCTTGTCATCAAATTATATTTCTCTATATTTGAAACTATATTTTATGGATTTTTTATTGCAAATCAAAATAATTGTCTTTCTTCAAGTTATGGATCTTTTTTATTGCTGATGGTGATTGGTGCACGATTGATTTTATACCTATGTATTTTGCTGCTACCGTTTAAGGTCTGATGCAATAAATTGACTGTGTATTGCAGCAACGGAACCTGAAATGCAGAAAGATAATATGATAATCTGCAGTACTTTTTTGAGCATTTATGATATGATCATATCCATAACATAGCATCATATTGGTTCAAGAAAAATCAAGGCCACTGAGAAATTCCAGACTTGTCCATAGTGCCTTATTGAAGCTAATATTCAATACCTTTAATGCACATCTACAAAAGACTGTTTGTATGATTTGTGTAACAATATAACATTATATGTACCTTGGTGGGCTCTACATGTCACTAGCCTTGCATATTGTATTGTCTGTCAAATAAATGGAGAAAAAAGGAATAATGATGAAAGTTGCTAAGAAATGTTGTAGTTCTTTGGCTTTTTTTAACTGAAATAATATCAAGAAGTGTTTTGCACCTGTTTCCATTCTTCTCTTTCTTACATGCATACTGAGTTAAACAGACAAAAGTGACTTTATTCCCTCTCTCTTTTCCTGGTTACTGATAGTTTTTCTAAGCTAGGTAATGTCAGACCAAAAGAGTATTATCCCATTAATGTGCATCTTACTGTGAACTTATTCTATATTTTTAAATGTGTTCCTGTAGTATTTATTGAAATTTTGCACCCAAGGTCCTCTTAGCTTAGTATGCCAGCTCACAAGTCTCAATAAGCGTATGCCCAAATAAGCTGCTTTTGAAGAATATGAGCTTGGATCACCATGGTTTGGGTTCATATTTGAATGCAGACATGCTGGGGCATGGATATCATAGTTATTCAAACAAATGTTTAAACTCAAAAGCAAAACAAAAGTCACCAACCAGGGGAAAGGGATATCATAGTTACTATATTCTATATTTGGGTCATAGATGTCATTTCATACTAGATGAAATTATTTGCATCTTGTTGCCCAAAATAATAATAAATTGACTCATACCAATGAAACGATTGCACATTCTATATCTATGGATTTATGGATACCTTTACATGTCAAGTTTGTCGACTTAACATGTACCAAACTGTTAATAACTATTAGCTGTTAGAGATATATAAAAACCATTAATGTAGCCTCACCTAATAGCTTAAGCTTTTGGGTTGAATTGGTTCTTTACATGGTATTAGAGCCTCACGGATTCGATTCTCACCGCCTCTCATTTAATCAATAATTAATTATGTCTTGTGGAGTTACTTAGCATAAGTAGGTAGGCCTGTGCATTATCCTCCCTTCAAGCCAATGGGCTCTCGTGTGAGGAAGCGTGTTAGAGATATATAAAAACCATTAATATAGCCTCATCTGATAGCTTAAGCTTTTTTGGTTAAATTAGTTCTTTACATTAACTCTATCATGAATGTTATTTTTTGTGTTCTTTCTAAGTTGTTCCTTACTATTCATGTTGTCATCAAAATTTATGCCATTTGGTTTTTTTGGTCCAGGGTTATATTGTCCTAAATAGACCATGGGCTTTTGTTCAGTGGCTGGAGAAAGCAGATATTGAGGAAGAGTAAGTGCCTTAATTCTGGTTTTCTAGAATTTTTATGCTCTCAAATAATGAACTCTAAGAAGCAGCACATTTTATGATTGGTGCAGATATATTCTGATGGCAGAACCTGATCATATATTTGTAAATCCTTTGCCTAATTTGGCTCGTGGAACCCGACCAGCAGGGTATCCATTTTTCTATATAAAACCAGCTGAAAATGAAAAAATAATAAGGAAATTCTATCCTAAGGAAAAGGGTCCTGTTACTGATGTTGATCCCATTGGCAATTCTCCTGTAATCATTCAGAAGGTGAAGTCTCAATTAATAGCTTGCATAAGGTGCATCATTGATTATAGTTGTTATACTGTGACCTTTATAGCTGTTGCTGTTACTTTTACAGTTATAGTTATTATCATATTTACCTGATTTTCCTACAAGCAAGATAGTCTTCCTTTAAGGCATTGATTTTTTTTTTTATCAGTCTTTGATGGAGGAAATAGCTCCTACGTGGGTGAATGTTTCATTGAGAATGAAAGATGATACAGAGACCGATAAAGCTTTTGGATGGGTGCTTGAAATGTGAGTATTACTATAGAAATTCAACATTTGAGGGGCTTAATTTCTTTTTTGTTATCATTACTGTTCTTTTCATTCTATAACTACGTAGCACCGATACCGACACAGAACACGACACGACACTCTGACACGTTAATTATAAAAAATGTTAGATTTCAACACGTTTTGATATTAAATAATATTTTTAATTTATGTAGTGTATATTATATTTAATATTCAATAATGTAACAAAAAAATGAAGCTAAACTTATTGTTGAGATATATAAAACCATTAATGTAGCCTCACCCATGAGCTTAAGCTTTTTGTAGCCTCACTCATGAGCTTAAGCTTTTGGGTTAGGCTACATTAATAGTTTTATATATCTCAACACTTATAATAGCCATCAATTTTGCAAAGAAACATAAGATATCTCAAATATTTATAGTAAACTCAGTAAAACGGTAATCGTAATCTACCGAATCTAATAGTTGGAACTAAAAACGTAACACAATGCATCCTTTGAACCTTTTTTTGAGTCTCTAAAATGCATGTTGGAGTGTCGGGAAGTGTCGAACACGACACGTCAGCGTTTTTGAAATGTCGTGTTTCATAGTTCTATAACTTTTCCTGGACACCGGTCAGTATCGATAGGTCTAACCTTTTATGCTTTAATTCTATGTTGGATAAAGGTATGCTTATGCAGTGGCATCTGCATTGCATGGTGTAAAGCATATTCTTCGAAAAGACTTTATGCTTCAGGTTTGAATAACTCATGTCATCTTGTATTTTAATAAGAGGGGGGTTGATTTGTTTCTTGAGGAAGTCACACATAAGTTCATAACATGCATCATTGGTATTTTTCAGCCACCTTGGGACTTCAATGTTGGGGAGAATTTTATCATCCATTATACATATGGATGTGACTACAATTTGAAGGTGTTTTCATTTCTCCTTACTTTTTGTTTTATGTAATAGGCAGAGAAACTGTATTTCCTAGTTAGAATTCCTTTTGCTCATGTCTGTTCATGTGTAAAATGAGTCTTGCATCACAAGTTATTTACTCCTTATTCATCTAGGGGGAACTGACATATGGAAAGATTGGAGAATGGCGTTTTGACAAGAGATCATATCTTATGGGTCCTCCACCCAAAAACCTTTCCTTACCTCCTCCTGCAGTTCCTGAAAGTGTGGTAAGTACATGCATGCCTTCCAAACAGTCTAAATTGTTGTCTGGCTGTATGTAAGTGTTTACTTGAGTTTTGAGCTACCTAAACCTTCAAATGACAAGTGTTTTAACTGAAGTTTCATTTATGCATTCATCTGTTACTTCCGTGATTGCTAGTTTTTGTCAATTAAGAGATAATGCAATGATGATTTCTGCAGGAGCGGCTTGTAATGATGGTGAATGAGGCTACTGCAAACATACCTGAATGGGATACATTAAATAGAAGCTGAGGGAAAGATAATAAACCTTAACGCCTTGCACCCCTTTTGCCAATGACTATAATATAAGATGAGGACCACAAATACTAATTACATGTCAAAATAGATTAGTTTGCGGAAAGAGAAATTGTGATGAATACAAAGGATGTTTTTGTGCTTGCTCTGAAAATAGTTTGTTTTTTGTTTTTTTATTTTTTGTTTAATATCCAGTTTTTTTTTATTTTTTATTTTTTTTTGCATTCAGACATGTACAAGACATTTACAATCTATTACATAGTCGGAGGCAAGGCAACCAATGGAAACATTTTGTCCTTTTCTATCCCCACCTTTTGAGCATGAAACTAATCTTTGCTCCTGTTCTGCCTTGGGCACATCTGTCCGACCATAGGTCGGGTCTTTGATGTTGAATCTAGGACTCTTTTTAGATATCTATGAATTAGGTATCTTGGGGACAACGAATCACTACACACTATATGATGGCCGTAGCCTGAAGGGGTGTGTGCACTGTCGTGATTGCATAAAATAGGGTTAGAGAGATCAGTCATACATGTGGTCTTTAGCTCCTATTTATAAAATTTACCTTTGGACTTGTTTTAATTGGGCTTCTTGTAGACGTAGGCCTTTTCCAGGTCCATAACAGCTCCTCACAAGTGTTTTTTCACTGGTTAAAAAGCACTAATGATAGTTTCAATTTTGTACATTTGTTAAGAATAGTTAATTAATCCCTTTTTATTAAGATTTAGTGGAGGCCAATTGAAAAAGTAAAATGTAGACGATTAAGCAGCTGTTATCGTATCTATAAGATACCCAAAAAAATTCATAAACACAAATTTCTTGTGTTAAACTACACCACTAAGCCAGCCACCGATGCCACTCGTGAAATATTTGGTGTTTATATTGTATTGACCTTTTTATATTAAATATTTAAATTAATTTTGTTTATGGAAACATAAGTACCGGGATATATACGCAAACAAATTTATAGTGTATGATTTATTTATTGTATTTATTTAATATGTTACAAGTATGTCTCACAAATTACTTTCGTCACACACACATATATTGTTTTTTATACTTTTACACATATATATAGGAAAATTATTGTCTCATTTTATATGAGATAACTATCTGATGTTACCCTCACCTAAAAAGTTGTGCCATCATTTTTTTTTCTTTTTTAATAGGTGGTGAATCCCACCACATATGTGTCTATGGTAGGAGATATTTATCTCCTACAACATGAGAGAAATAAAACCTATATATATATATGGGAATGATCCGTTTACAAATTTTTTTAACAAATTTTTATAAATTATACTATCTTCTCCCGGAGAAAAGATAGTGTAGTTTGTAAGAGTTTGTAAACAAAAAAGTTTGTAAATATAACATACCCCATATATATAAATATATACTTACCTCTGGTTCAATCTTAAAACTTGAACCATTGCATATGATTAGTCTCTATTTCTAAAAACAGTTTTTGTGTTTTCAAAATATAAAAATAAATAAAATTGATTGAAAAATTGCTTTGTAAAAATAACTCCGAAATGTAACCCTTTTTTTAACTTTTTAAAACTAAAATTGGAGTTTAAAAAAAAAAAAAAAAAAAAACTAAAAACTAAAATTGGAAAACAATTTAGAGGTGTTTTCAAAAATTGTTTTGGGTGACAATCTTACAATAATTATAAAGTCTCATTAATAGTACTTTTGTAAATAAATTCAACTCCTTTATAACTTTTAGATCATATTCATTTTTTTTTTCATTTTTGAAATTTATTTACATAAAAGTTCTAAAAAACTAAAAACTAAAATAAAAATTCAAACAGACCCTTTATCATTATCTGTTCAAAGACCGGTTTGGTTTTGGAAATACGAATACCCATGATTATCAATTGATAAAAACAAGTAAAATGTGTTGAAATATATAATATTATTAATGTAGCTTCATCCAAAAGCTTAAGTTTTTGGATTGAATTGATTATTTACATAGTATCAGAGCCTCATGTTCCGAGTTCGATCCTCGCCGCCCTCCACTTTTTTCAAGTGAAATTTCTTTGTTCCCATAGGTAGGTGGGCCAGTACATTGTCCACCCTTCAAGTCCAGTGGGCTCTCGTGTGAGGAGGCGTGTTAAAATATATAAAACCATTAATGTAATCTCATCCAAAAACTTAAGATTTTGGGTTGAACGGATTCTTTATAAAATGTTTTAATCTGGGTCAAATAAAAGTCACTAATCATAATTCATGAACCGTAAATTAAAATTGTTTCAGGATCATATCATAAAATCCAATGGCATCGTTGGGATCTCTACCAAATGTATTTTAGTACTATATATGGGATATATTTTTCTTATGTTGTAGGAAAAGAATTACCTCATGTTGTAGAAATAAAAGTATAAGTGGGACCCACATGTAAGAGGAGAGAGAAAAAAAAAAGTGGTGGGACCCAACCCTTTTTGTGTGTGTAGGAGAGATGTTTATCTCATGTAAAATGAGATAAACATAACCCACTATATATATATATATATATATGTGTGTGTGTGTGTGTGTGAGGTAGGATCCTTTGACACCGGTGTCAAATTTAAAGTTTGACACCTCATCTGAGAGCCGTTAGATCAAAAAAAATTAATGGTGTCACATGCTTACAAATCAGAGTCGTTGATCTTTTTTGATCTAACGGCTCTCAGATAAGATGTCAAACTTTAAATTTAACACCGGTGTCAAAGGATCCTGCCTATATATATATATATATATATATATATATATATATATATATGTGTGTGTATATGGAAAAATATGTGTCATTTTAAAGGATGTAAAATTATATCATCTTAAGAGAGAGAAAGAGATAGATAAAAGAGAAGAGAGAGAGTTGACAAAAAAAATAAAGGTGCGGGTCCTATTGTGAGAGTAAAATGATATAAGTTGTGTCATTTAACAGGATAAATATTTTTTTCCATATATATATATATATATATATATTACTGAACCTGTGGTAATGAACGGAAATGGATTACCCACGTCTTAATATCTCATCTGTTCCTCCCACAAGAACTACTTTGTTGCTTCAAGCTAAAACATTGGAGAATATGTAAACGAAGGAAGGCAGAAAAAGCGTCTGATTTTGTGGAGATTGCATTCAGGAACAAGGCAGATAAATAGAACCATTGATTATATTACAGGAAGAAGAAAAATGTGTTAGTTAAATCTTTCGACACCATACTTCTTGAAGAATTTTGAAGGAGGAACCAACTTGCTATTTTACTTTATCATTGTTGAAAATATAATATTAAAATAGTAGCTTAATAAATATTAGAGTCTATCACTATTAGTAAAAAAGTATTTAACTTACATCCATTGAATCAGTACGTACTTTGTAAAGCAATCTAATCAATTTCTAAATTTAAGTTCTACTAGAAATGTTTCAAATTAAATTTTTAATTAATATTTTATTTCGATACTTATATTTATTAAAGGAAAAATCATTCAACTCTCCAATCATCTTTCCCTTCACAATATTCTCATACGCTCTCATTAATTCCCGCAAAATCCTATGGTTGGAAGATATTTGAAGAAAAAGAAAATATGGATAAATTATACATTTTAAACAAATATTATCTCACTTAATAATTTTTTAAAATAAAAGAAATAAAATAATAAATTGGTAGGAAACTTCTCGATCAACTGTTACTCATTTTTTATAAACATGTGATTCTCTTCTTAATTAAAAAAACTAAAACTTTACCCGCCATTCTCTTTCCCTCCAAGACCCTGCATTGAAAGCATACCATAAAGTGGCAAACCTCGTCATCAGCATTAAACTATGATTAGGACCTTCGACTAATGTATCGATCGTCTGTCTGACGAAAAGAAACAATCCATACAACCCCGAAGTTCCAAGTTCATAATAGCGAGCTCACGGATTAGCAGACAAAAACAGAATAAAGTCATTGGGATGAGGCATTAGACAAAAACAGAATAGTTTAGAAACTGATCCATGCTATTTCTGAACAACATAAACAATTAAACAAAGCAGCAGAAAATAAAGATAGAGACAATTAAATCCTGCTCTAGATAGACATATCATAGTCGTTTAGACCAAGACATATCCACAATCAAGCATCCAAAAGGAATTATTTATTCTAAGTTCGAGTAAACCCCGACTTAAAAAAACAAGAGAAAGTGAATCGTAGACCAACTACTAAACACGTGTACTTACTCAAGTATGCCCAACAACGTCATTATCATATCTCATTATCCAACTTCAGACAACCACTCCATACCTACCAACATTCCCAACTAGTCTGAAGCTTTGAGGTAGACAAAAACGGGGTTAGCACTAAGTATAATCGGCAGCTAGATGATGGTAACAATTGTTACATGTGCACCATTATGACATTTCCACTAGGGAAGTGAACAAACCATAATCATACCATCAATCCCAGAAGATACAAGCTCCAAGATGACTGGATAATCTTTTATTTACCACCAACTATCCACCCCAAAACAGACAAGGCATTTACTTAAGAACTTTGAACTGTAAAGATGCTTGCTTATCTTCCTTCATCCAGGCTCGAGGGCTCAGCAAAATCTGCAATAATTTTACAAGCAAATTCTGCTGGGGTCAATTCACCAGTAAACACACAACAATCAATCATCAGTTCAAAAGTTAGGAAGTAGAGCCATGATTCCTAAGACTTCCCAACACTGTTTAAGCATATAGTAATAGTGGCCAGGCTAAAGCAGAAGAAATAGACACTTAGACATACACAACCGTGGGAAATTGGGAATTAGAAAATATGGTGAAGTGGATGTGAGACATACAAGATTGTCCAAATTTCAAGTTGAGTAAGCTACAGATATCATCAATATGAAGAGTAAGTTGGTCCTCACCTTTTGTAGTAACAAGTTCCTGCAACAAGTCTAATCCAACCAACAACATCCAATGACATGGCAGCAAAGTTGCGGTTTGAATGGGTAGCAAAGGGACGCAGCAAATTCGTAATAATCCTTCAAGGACCTCAAATACGTAATTATGTTAGCAATTTAAAAGTAAACAAAATATTCACCAAAAAAAAATAAAAATAAAAATAAAAGGTATCCATCAAACAAACAGCAAAATAAATCCAGACAAGAAGCATACCATCAATATTCATACATACTGACATCACACAAAGTAACGACCGGTCCAGATTGACTGTCCTTGAAATTGCTCAGGCAGTGGAGTAAAATGCTGATTTCCAGTTGTGAGTGGTTGCTGTGGCTGTGGCTGCAGCTGCTGATTATGGTGTGCTTTTAAAATCTCAAAAGTCTGATAATCTTGCCAACCATTCTGTTTCTCCACCTGCAATGGAGATGGAACCTGTTTTCCAGGAAAGGGAAAGCTGATTGTCCCACTCAACCCATTGTTACTGACTTGCTGAGGATTTGAATGAGAGTAAGTAAGAGGATCATTGGGGTCTAGACCTTTGGTTGATGAAGGCAACTGATATCCATCCAACCAACTGTAATCATCCATAATTGGATTCCCACTAATTGAATCTGAAACAGTGGGTTCAAAACCTTGTTTAGGAGGAACATGACAGAAACCAGGAGGAGGTCCAAGGTGCCTAGAAGGTCGGCTGACTGGAGATTTCTTCAAACCAGCTGGCATGGCTGATGATGTCTTCACTACAGAGTTATCAATGATAACTCCAGAAGATGCAGTGGCATCGAATTTGGATGATATCATAAAGTCTTCAGCATTCGAGAGACCATAAAACACACTAGTACCATCACTTACAGATTGCTGGACAGGAATTGCAAGTGCAGCGTGGTTCGGGATAGCTACAGCTCCTTGCAGTGGCAGGTCAGGTTTCATCATGTGCCCATTCTCCGAGAACCTAAGACCTTTTAAACTGTTAGCAAGAGATATTTCCTCCTCTAACCACCTCGAAGAATGTGGCAGAAGTGGTTGCAGGTGTTGAGGCACCATACCACTAACAGAAGCAGGTAAAGAAGTTCGATGGTTCAAATTGAGAGGGTTAGAAGTAGAATTGACATTAAATGTTATATCCCCTCTAGAAGCTGTTGGAACTGACTCTAAGCCTTTATGGGGTGCCCATGACGAGACAGCCACCACATCAGCTCGTTTCTCAGCTACCATAGGTTTAAAAACAATAACCTCATCGTCATCCTCTCCTTCCATATACTGGGGGTGGTCTGGCTGAACAATTCCCACCTTTGTCTTGTCTGCCGTATTTTCTTTCAATAAATCTTTTGCATCAGGTATGCCTGTATAGGAGGCAAGAACAAAATCATCTGAAATTTGAGGCGCAACACCAATTATAAATTTCTTTCCCTTAGAGTCAAAATATATCATTTTCTGATCAATCCTGACAACATTTGCTAAAGCCTTTCCTGCAGCTAAAATCCTTTTGACACGAGCTTTTCTTTCCTTTTCACCATCACTTCCAAGGGAATGCTTTCTTGAAAAGTCCAAGATGGTTTGTGCAGGGAGAAGTGGAACAAATCCTCTTAACTCACAATCCTCCCCCAAAGCAAGCCGGTTTTCAGTTTCCCCTTCCTCATACCTGCTCATGTTATTAAAGCAAGTGTCCTCTTCATTGTCTTCAATAGACATAGGCCCAACTGAAAGTAGCTTGTTCAACAAGGATATACAATGATTCCAAAATTTTGATCTAACAGTTGCCTGATTCTCATCCACATCATTGCCTGCAGCAAGCTCTGGATAACATGCCAACCACTCAAAAAAAACCAAAATGCCTGGTAAAAGATAACTATAAGAAGGATCCTGCAGCTGCGCACATCTCTCTACTATGGAACTCATCATTTCAAAAGCAGCAGTGAATGCATTCTGAAGTAGAACAGCACGCTGTACAATTTCCGCGTAAGTTTGACCTTCAGATTCCTTATTCACATTATAAACTGCAAATACGATAATGGAAACAATTCTGATAATGGCAAGTCCATTCTCAAGCGTATCCATGCCAAAATTCAGCTCTTCATCTTTCCCTGAAGACAGAAGCTCATGCAGACCAGTGCTAACACAAGAGAGAACTTCAGTGAAGGTCTCAAGGCTATCATCATGCAATATGAGAACCAAAGAAAAGGAAAAAAGTCAGAATGTAATCCTTAACGGTGTGAATGTAATTCATAAAAAGGTATGCAGAGAGAGTGAGTGTGTCAAGAAAATATGCCTTGTACGAGTGAATAAGATTCCATTTAAACGGATAAAGCGGGTGCAGAAGGATTTGTAAGTCTCTTGTATATTGGATGCTCCTTCCTTTCTAGGACAGGCTTCCACACCATTAACCCTTGAAACAAGTTTTGCTTCCACTTTTCCTCTTCCTTTGCCAGATAATTGCCCAGAAAGTTCCTTCACTGCAAGAGCTTTAACATCCCCAGAAAGCTGAGAGTAACTTTGACGATTCTATCATTGTATTACAAAAATAGATAGTTAGGAATATGATAACATAATGCCAAAAAGATCATAGACCATATATAAAACAAAAGGGTCAAAAGGAAAAATGTCAACACCACAGAATGAAAATAAACGGAGAAACAAGCCCAAGAGCAAATTCTTCATCCCCAACAGGATCCATGCCAAATAAACAGACCCCGTTTATATGAGAAGGTATGCTGTGTTGCAGTTTTCAATAAAATCAAATATTAATGATACATGCACAAACTCCACCTCGTACATGTCCAAATAACATATATAAATAAATGCTCAATTTGAAATCCTCTGAAATTTACAACTTACAATCTTTTAACGCATTTAGCTGAGTATCAAACACAGGAACTCTAGTAGTAGAAAACTAGAAATTACTGAACTATCATAATTGTATTTCAGTTTGCAAGCAAGCAAGCAAAAATAAAGAAGAACAAAAACACTAGAGTTGAAAAACACATAAAAAAAAAAGAACAAGACAGTTATCAGACTTCTGAACAAAAAAATGTTGAGCATTTGAAAATCAACTCCATGGTTGCATTACCTTCTCAAATGCAACAATCAAATTATCTCTGGCAGTTGTAAATGGACTATCCACAGCCAAACTCCGAAAATATCGATAAATAGTTGCCAGCTCATCCCCAGAATATGAAGCCAATAAAGCAAGCTGAAAATAACAGATTTATCAAAATGGAATACAATACCTACGAAACACGATTCAACACATGAGATGTGAAACAACCATAAACAAAACCACAGCAGATGCAGGAATGGAAAAAACCTGATGATGGGGATTCCCACTTGAAGGCCAAATAGATGCAGCTTGTAAATAGTAACTAGAAGCTGCTGCAAACTCACGCTTTATCGAGTCACCTTCGCCATACAATCCTTTGTAGCGAGCAAGATCACCCAGGTATATCAAACAACGATGACAAGATATTAGACCATTCTTCATCTCAGCAGATTTCTTTCCATCTTTCTCCATCACAATCCAATTCTCTGAATCCTCAAAGTAACCAAGAGGAAGCCCATACTTTGCTCTGATTTTCATAATAAGATCATGGTAAAATCCAGTTGCTTCTGAAAGGAAAGTCTTAAACTGCAGCCTTATTTTATTTAGCCGATCAGGTCGAACAGGACCTTTGCCTCCCTGAGACGATTTTGAGCTTACAGAAGTAAGAGCAGCACTAAAGTATGTCCTCAATTCCTCAATCCGCTTATAATGCAATTGCCACAGAGCATACTCAATATTGTGCTGCTCAGAAAAAGCATGATCCTCAAGAATTATTGCTTCATAATTCTCACGCATCTGCGGCCAAGTATTTGGATCTGATGGGACCTGCGCCTGAGCTGATCTCCGACGCTTATTCTCCAATTCAAGGTTCTATGTGAGAAAAAAAAATATAGATATAACAAAGATACCTTTTGGGTTCATTCCACAGAAAAAGAAGAAAAAAAAACTTATTATGAAATAATAAGAGGAACAAGTAAGCCACAAAACACAACCAAACAGCAGATTATACATTCTACATGGATTGCCAGGGTAGACAAGAGCAAGTTATAGGTTCTTAATTATTTATTTATTCATTCAACATACAAGAAATCGACAAGTACATCCAACTAGTGTGATGATGGCTGCCAAAGGCCAACTAAATTCAAATGGCCCAAAAGACCAAAATATGCAACAGTTCTGAGCAACAAAAGTTTACACTATACAGCAGAGGGAACAGATAACAAGGTCTTGCACTAATTACAAAAAGGAATCATAATAAAGAGAGTAAACCCAATTGCAAATTGGAGTTGTCTTCCCATTAGAGGAAGAAGAATAACACCAATCAACCAAATCTATTCCCCTAAGAACATGTCCTTCCAAGTGTAACTTCCTATATACAGATACATTGTACCAAGAGAGCACAATCATGTTAAATAATAGAACCATATTCCTTTATATTTGGAATATTGTGAGAGATTTAGACAGATAGGCCCTTGTCCGGTGATCACATTTGTGAGGTTGCCTGATCAATAAATGACCAAGAGAGAGAAAGCGGAGTACCCTATCTATTTATTTTAAGGAAAAAAAAAAGGATGAGTACCTTCTCATATAGACGTTGTGCACGCTCCCGTGTTGAAGGAGCAGACATTTTATCCATCTCTACTATCATCGTCCATAAAATGTTTAGTGACTAAACTCAAGCTACATAAAACCTACAAATCGGAAATCAAACAAATTGCTCAGATCATATTGTCAGGTTTCAAGTAACTGAGATAAACAGTGAAACGGTTGTTGCACCAAATTTGGCAATGATCAAAATAAAAACGATGGCATCCTAAAACACTTAAAAGTACCCACTCAAAGTGAAATTCAAAACTAGAATTCAATATAAAACAAAGTTATACCAATCTGACCCCCTTAATGAAGATTGTCCAAAGGGAGAAAAAAAAAAATCAGCGATCAAGATTTCAAAATAAAACTTGTTTCCATTTATCATAAGAAGCTACGAAGTCCCTGAAATGTCAACTTCATCAAATACGATTTCACAAATCACATTGAACATTCAGACCCTCTTCCCAAAAAGACAATCGCAATCAGACAACAAAAAACTGTCTCCCGAAAAATTAAATGTATCAATTGCAAAATAAAAATTTCCTCTGGTTCCACTCGCAGAGTAATTGCACATAATCCCTCTTAGGAAGGGCAATATCTTAAGAACTGTACAAATTGTGAGACAAAGCATGAGCAAAAATACTAGTATTGTGAAACAAGACCAGATCTGTGAAATCCAAGAACTATATAATACATATGAACCAATCAGAACCAAAAGAATCTGTAAAACGATTAACACATTGAAAAAACGAGAAACGAAGCTTTGCCGACGTAGAAAAAAATAGGAAAAGGAAAAAAAACTCACCTGTACAATAGGATGAAGGATCGGATAAAGATCGGAGGGAAGGTATTGGTGTTGGTGTTCGGTAGGGTTTGGTTGTGTGAGAAGAAAGAGGATTAAGAAGAAGACGAAGAAAGAAAGGGAGAAAAAGGGGAAGTAGTTGTTGGGTTAGGGTCCAAATCCAAAAAGGGATAATGTTTCTGCAGACGGTGAATGCTTAACGACGCCGTTTTGACTACCAGTTTTCTTCTCAACATTGGAATTCAATTCACCTCCTGTTTTTTCCTTTCTTTTCTTAATTATATATCAAAAAAACTAACCAGAAAAATACTATAATATACTAGCGCATGTAAACTCCCTTTCTACCTACTAATAATAATAATAATAATAATAATAATAATAAATGATGTTTGAACTAAAATATAATTATGTAATAAAAATTTGACAAGGACTAAAAAAATTAATTAATTTGTCTGAGCTATCGACATTTACGCTAATAATTTTAGGAAAAGTGACAATAAGTTTTTTGGAAATAATTTGTTATATAACTTAGAATTCATTTGTTTGTAATTTTTAAATTGTTTTTTAATTATAATAATTAGATAATTTTTAAGTAGAGCAAAAAATTAAAAGAAATTTGTTTTCATCTGTTTATAAATTAAAAAAACTAATATTTTTAGGGTTATCTAAAAATTTAAAAACAACCTTTCTAAAATTTACTAATTTTTTAAAGCACGAGTGAGATAAAAGAGGCATGATAAGATATGCTATTATATCCTACACTTATCAATTGTTTGATGATATATGAATCAACATGATATAATAAACTTATCATGTTGATTCATTTTATCCTATTCATAATAACGTGATAAGCTATTACAATGAGAGACTTTTCTTAAAATTCAACCAGATATGATAAGATAGAAAATATTTATTTCAAAACTAATACTTGGTCTCCTCAAGCTTTCCTTTAAAACTTAACAAGTGCATTACCCGTGCATTGCACATGAGTTGCACTGAGAAAAAAAATCAGTTTGTTTGTCTCATAAAAGTTAACGCAACTAGTAAAAGTATATGATAAACTCCTTTTTTATCTAATAGTAATAAAAATAAATGTTTGAACTAAAATATAATTATATAATAAAAAAATTTAATTAATTTGTCTGAGCTATCGACATTTATGCTAATAATTTTAGGTAAAGTGGCAAGGAATAATTTGTTATATAACTTAGAATTCATTTGTTTGTAATTTTTAAATTATTTTTAATTGTAATAATTATATAATTTTTAATTATAGCAACAAATTAAATAAATTTGTTTTCATATTTTAAAAGTTAAAAAAAACTAATATTTTTAGGGTTGTCTAAAAATTTATCAACCTTTCTAAAATTTACTAATTTTTTTAAGCACGAACGAGATAAAAGAGACATAATAAGATATGTTATTATATCCTACTCTTATCAATTGTTTGATGATATATGAATCAACATAATATAATAAACATATCATGTTGATTCATTTTATCCTATTCATGATGTGATTAGCTATTACAATGAGAGACTTTGATTAAAATTCAACCAGACATGATTAGATAGAAAATATTACTTTCAAAACTAATACTTGGTCTTCTCAAGCTTTCCCTTAAAACTTAACAAGTGTATTACAGTATTACCCGTGCGTTGCATGGAGAGAAAAAAAATTCGGTTTGTTTGTCTCATAAAAGTATATGATAAATTCCTTTTTTTAATAGCAATAATAATAAATGTTTGAATCAAAATATAATTATATAATAAATATTTGATAAGGACTCAAAAAAATTTAATTAATTTACGCTAATAATTTTATGTAAACTAGCAATAAGTCCATTGAGAATAATTTGTTCACAAAAGGTAGAGAAATGAAGAAAAAATCACCCTTTCACTTCTGTGCAAAGAACTTGCTTACTATAGTTTGTTTTGGGAAGAAAAACATCCCAAATTATGTGGAACCAACGATAACTGAAGGTAGAAAAATGACCAAAAAATTACCCTTCTCCACAATCCTGTGCAAAGTACTTTATTTACTGTGGATTGGGAAGAAGAAAACCCCCATTTTTGTACAACCAACAACAACTTAAGGTGACACTGGTGGGTACCAACGATAATTGAAGGTGATACAGGTGGGTCTGTGCAACCTACAATCACTGAAGGTAGTAGCCCGATACCATTCACCATTAGGCGTCAGGGCTAAAGGGATGAACAAGATTGTAGAACCTTATCAATAGAACATCCAGTTACGAAAGTAGACACTGGTAGGTCTGTGCTACCTACAATACTCAAGATAGTAGCCTGAGACCATTCACCATTAGGCGTCAAGGGCAAGGAATGAACAAGATTGTAGAACCTTATCAACAGAACATCCATTTATGGAAGTAGACACTGGTGGGTCTGTGCAACCTACAATCACTGAAGGTAGTAGCACGAGACCACTCACCATTAAGCGTAAGGGCTCAAGGGATGAACAGATTGTGGAACCTTATCAATAGAACATCCAGTTATGGAAGTAGACACTGGTGGGTCTCTGCAACCTACAATCACTAAAGATAGTAGCCTGAGACCATTCACCATCAGGAGTCAGGCTAGTTGGGTTCTATGAAGTGAAAGATGAAAGGCTACTCTTGGTGTACGAGTACCCGAAAAAAGGAACCTTACATGATCATCTGCACGAGAAGAGTAGTGATGTCTTGAATTCTTGGAAAATGAGGATCAAAATTGCGCTGGATGATTCCCGAGGAATCGAATATCTCCAAAATTATAGAGTTCCATGCATAATTCACGGAGATATAAAGTCTTCTAACATTCTCATTCATGCGACTTGGACGACAAAAGTATGTGATTTTGGATTGTCATTGATGTGTCCAGACTCTGTCCATGATTACGGACCAGTTGGATATATTGATCCTGAATATCATAGTGTAAATGTTATGAAATCAAAGGGCAATGTCTATATTGCAAAAGAAAGAAAAAAGAGTGATGTGTATGGGCTTGGAGTGGTACTACTAGAACTCTTAACGGGAAAGAAAGCTATATTCAAGGTTGGTGAAAATGGAGGCACCCCTCTGAGTGTGGTAGACATTGCAGTGCCTGCATTAATGGCTCGTGAATTGAAGAAAATTTTGGACGAGAGGGTAGTGTTAAATGAAACAGAAGCAATGGAGATTACGGCCTCCACTGTCAAGCTGTGCGTAAATTTTGAAAGGATACACAGACCAACAATTTCGTACATTGTAAGAAATTTGGACCGTGCTTTGGTTTTATACCATTTAAGGGCTGAACAATATTATGGAAGTAGACACTAGTGGGTCTGTGCAACCTACAATCACTAAAAGATAGTAGCCCAAGACCATTCACCATTCGACGTCAGGGCTCAACGGATGAACAAGATTGTGGAACCTTATCAATAGACCATCCAGTTATGGAAGTATTCACCCTTGCTGATATTGTCGGTTGCTGTGGAATATCATCAACACGTCCAGATATGGCAGAGTTCACCCTTGTCGAGATTGTGGCAGCAACCAACAACTTCTCCCATGAGATTGGTGCTGGAAGTTGGTGTTCTGTATTGAGGCCAACTTGATGTTGTAGTTGCAGTCAAAAGGGAGGAAACTGGTACTACTAAGGTGAAGATTTTTCAAGAGAAAGAGAGTAGACCTGAGTCTGAAAAGAGAAAGATGTCTTTCGTGTCACGTCTACACCACAAGAACTTGGTTAGGCTAGTTGGGTTCTGTGAAGTGAAAGATGAAAGGCTACCCTTGGTGTACGAGTACCCGAAGAAAGGAACCTTACATGATCATCTGCACGAGAAGAGTAGTGGTGTCTTGAGTTCTTGGAAAATGAGGATCAAAATTGCGCTGGATGATTCCCGAGGAATCGAATATTTCCATAATTATAGAGTTGCATGCATAATTTACGGAGATATACAGTCTTCTAACATTCTCATTCATGCGACTTGGACTGCAAAAGTATGTGATTTTGGATTGTTATCGATGTGTCCAGACTCTGACCATGATTACGTACCAGTTGGATATATTGATCTTGAATATCATAGTGTAAATGTTATGAAATCAAAGAGCGATGTCTATATTGCAAAAGAAAGAAAAAAGAGTGATGTGTATGGGCTTGGAGTGGTACTGCTAGAACTCTTAACGGGAAAGAAAGCTATATTCAAGGATGGTGAAAATGGAGGCACCCCTCTGAGTGTGGTAGACTTTGCAGTGCCTGCATTAATGACTCGTGAATTGGAGAGAATTTTGGACGAGAGGGTAGTGTTAAATGAAATAGAAGCAGTGGAGCTTACGGCCTCCACTGTCAAGCTGTGTGTAAATTTTGAAGGGATAGACAGACCAACAATTTCTTACACGTGAGAAAAAAAAGAAATCGGTTTGTTTGTCTCGTAAAAATCAACGCAACTCGTAAAAGTATATGACAAATTCCTTTTTTTTCTAATAGTAATAATAATAAATGTTTGAACTAAAATATAATTATATAATAAATATTTGACTAGGACTCAAAAATATTAATTAATTTGTCTAAGCTATCGACATTTACACTAATAATTTTATGTAAAATGGCAATACGTTCTTTAGGAATAATTTGTTCACAAAAGGTAGAGAAATGAAGAAAAAATCACTTTTCTCCACAATTATGTGCAAAGTACTTTATTTCTTGCGGATTGGGAAGAAGAAAACCCCCATTTCTGTGCAACCAAATGCAACTTAAGGTGACACTGGTGGGTTCCAACAATAACTGAAGGTGACACTGGTGGGTCTGTGCTACCAACAATAATTGAAGGTGACACTGTTGGGTCTGTGCAACCTACAATCATTGAAGGTAGTAGTAGCCCGAGACCATTCATCATTAGGGATTTTATGACCAGTGGGGGACTATGCTTTGGCTCTTTGTGAGAGTAGTACTTAGTAGGATAAATAAATGTATGAGCAATTTTATGACCACTGACTATTTAATTTGAATGGACGAAATCATCTCTTTTTTAATATCTATTTCATATATAAAGGTAATGCTTAATCTCATCTTTTAAGAAACCTTAAACTCATTTTTAATAAATGTGATTCTTCAGTCAAACCATGTATAGATGGATTTGAATAGAGTCAAAGTTTTAAGTTCAAAGATCATCTAAAAAATTGAAGGGCCACTTATGGGGCTTATAGGAAAGTGATTTCAAACATATATATTCTTGCAATGGTGATAGATTTATTATTCCTAAATCATGTATATAATTATAAAATACTCGAATAATATGAAATCAAAATTGGGATTGTGCGTACCTTACACTTGGAGAAAAGGGAGAAATACATGCCACAATATTCTTCTCTATGACCTATTCTGAAAGTGACAACCTCAGTGCGATGAGAACATGACACTCATGGAGTTTAACCCCAATATAAATAGACTAGAGAGGGAACCTAGCAAAACCCTAATCAATAGTGTGTCTGATGGGTCCACTCATCAAAGAAGCCCAATCTGACACTAATGTCTACACTGTGATGCCCAACTAGACTTAATACTAACAGATGACATAAGCTCAACCCAATGGGCTAGCCAAAATAATACAATTTTAATATCTATTATCCCGATTAATTTTAAAATAGAAAACTAATTAATTAATATTGCAAGGAAAATTTCTAACATATATTATATGTAATGATAACATAATATTCAAAAAATTAAAGACATGAAATTAATACGATGATAATTTAATTTTATCGGCTTTAATTATATTAGACAATCGCATTTCAATAGTTTTTTTTTAGAAAACTTCAAAAGCACCTCTATAACTTTCCTCATAATCATTTATCCCCTCCCAAAATTTTGAATCATTTAACCCCTGACTTAAATTTTTTTTATCATTTACCCCCCTAAGTGAGGGGGATAAATGATAAAGAAACTTTAAATCAGGGGGTAAGTGATAAAAAGAATTAAATAGGAATGTAAATAATTCAAAAAATTTGTGAAAGGGGTAAGTGATAATTGAGAAAACTCGTAGAGATTTTTTTGAAGTTTTTCATTTTTTTTAAAGGGATATGCTATAGCATCCACCAAAAAAAAAAAAGGATATGCTATAGATCCTTTGTTTGGGTGACACATAATTTACTTCCAATGCATGAATAAACATTCACGTCGCAATGTTTATGTGATTTTCCTATATAACCTCCTCCTTTTAGGTCCATGCATTCTACAATATTCCACACAAATGCCTATATATAAGGCTCACGCCTTCATGTTTGGTTGATGAAATTTTTTTGGAATAGTAGAAAAACGAGATAGATAGAGAAATGATTGGAAAGATAGATAAATTGAGATAGGTAGAAAAATGTAAAAAAAAAAATTGTTTGGTGGGGAAAAAATTTAATGGGAAAATTAGGTAACTTTATGAAATCAACAGTGCATTAAAAGCCAGATAACCGGTTTTCCGAAAAATCCCACCTTCAAATTGGGTTTCTAAACAGTGCAGATATCTATGTTTCTCATAAATTCAGACAAATTGGATAGATGAGTTTTTGGTGAAAAACGTTGAAACAAACATAGTATTTCTAAAAATCATACTTTTTTTGAAAAGCAAACAGGAAACAGAAAAACAAAAAAAGAAACTAGGAACACCTCCTAGACCAAACTACTCCTACATAATCCCTTTCAAGTTTGTCACGACAACCAGAAGGAGGCGAGTCAAACTCTTGTAAAGACCAATCAAAGGAGTAGGCAAAAGAGGCCATCCAATCGGCAACCCCATTCCCTTCCCTATGAATATGGGAAATTCTAACCCTCCAATTCCAATCCAGCATATTCCTTATGCGCAAGACCAAGTTAGAGGTTGGATGATGAGAGCTGCACCCTTCTCTTATGAAAAACTGGGCTACTAAGGAATCACCTTCAAGCCAGACAAAACGGAAACCTTTCCTCCATGCAATCTCAAGCCCAAGGAGACAACCCCAAAGTTCTGCTAACAAAACATTACCACAGCCAAGATTTTTACAAAAGCCAACAAGCCACCTTCCACTAGCATTCCTAAATACACCCCCACAAGCAGAAGCTTCTCCATTATTCATACTTGACCCATCCACATTGAGCTTAACCCAAGGGTCCGAAGGAAAAACCCAAGAAACTAATTTCTCTTTATTCGAGTTAGTCTCAAGACCAGCAACCCGAAGCGTGTTTTCTGACCAAGAAAAATCTTCACCATAGACCATAGCAGCTCTAAAAGTGCCATAAGCAGGAACAGAAGATCCCTGAAAAATTTTCTTATTCCTAGCTTGCCAAATGAAACAGGAAATGATACCAAACAGAAGAGGCCATGATGGCAAATTGGACCAATTACGATCCTCAGAGATATTGGACAACACCCATTGCTGAAGATTAAGAGAGAAAAAATCCTCCCAAGCCTCTCGCTTAACTGCAATCTCCCACACTTTTTTTGCTGTAATACAATCTCTAACCGCATGTAAGGAAGTTTCCGTAAAACAATTGCACAGATGTCATATATCTGAACCCGCCATGTGCCGTCTGCAACGCCTTTCATTTGTCAAAATTTTATCTCCTAACAACAGCCAAAGGAACGTACGAATCCGTTCAGGTCCATGCCACTGCCAAACGCGATTCCAAGGTAAATTGGTAGATTCCTCGTTACCCCTGGATATGGCCATATAAGCGGACTTCAGCGAAAAACTCCCATCAGATGTCCTTGTCCACAAAATTCGGTCATGACCATTAACATCCGAAGGAGGAAGGATGTTATTAATACGAGCATTGACGTGATCGGGAAGACTATGCTGGAAAGCCCCCCACATCCAACTTCCGGAGGATGAGACAAGATCAGAGACCATTAGCTGATGATTTATCTGAGAGGGATCAGAAATAGCAGCATAGGATGAGAGTGCACCACAACCCGGAACCCACGGGTCATCCCAAAAATGAGTAGAATTTCCATTACCCAGCAAAATTCTGGAATGCTGTAATATCACAGGCCAAGACGAAACAATTGCTTTCCAAAGAGAGGAGCTATTCCGAGTAGCAGAAATATTAGGAACCAAATCAGACTGAACTTTATACTTGCTCTTTAAAACTCTAGCCCAAAGCGCGTCTGGATTAGAAAGGATCCCATAACCAATTTTCATAATAAAAGCCCTGTTAACTTCCTTCATTTTCCTCAGACCCAGCCCTCCATGATCTTTATCCATGCACAACTGATCCCACGCAACCAGATGAGGACGAGTAGATGCTCTATTAGAACCCCACAAAAACCTCCTAATATGTTTCTCAATATCATTGCAGATTCCGAGAGGAACAACAGAAACTTGCATTGTGTAGGCTGGAATAGCTGAGAGAACAGCTTTCGAAAGTGTAATTCTTCCTGCTAGAGAAAGACTGGTGTGGTTCCAGGCATTAATCCTCGATTGAACTCGATCGAGGATATGACTGAAAGCCGCCCTCCCAACTCTGCGATGATGAAGAGGAATACCCAAATACTTTCCAAGATCCACCGTCCTTGAGAAGCCCAACTCACCACTAAGTTCCTCTGCCAAAATATGATTCACATTGTGGGAGAAGAGAATTTTTGTTTTTTCATGGTTAACCTTTTGCCCAGAAGAAAGACAAAAATCATCTAGCACCTTGGAAATGGTTTGGGCCTGATCAAAGGATGCATCCGCACAAAGAATAAGATCATCCGCAAAAAAGAGGTGAGAAATGGGAGGAGCATTTCTCCTCAACATGATCGGCTTCCAGCACTTTTGCCTAACTGTATGGGAAATGAGATGACCAAGTCGCTCCATACAAAGAATAAATAAATATGGGGACAAAGGGTCACCCTGTCTAAGCCCCCTGGATGGGAAAAACTCCTGAGTTGTAGAACCATTCCAAAGAACATTCATCGAACAAGAAGAAACACACCACATAACAAGATTAATGAGATTTGGGGGGAGTCCCACATCCTGAAGAGTATCTCGGAGAAAGTCCCAGCTAATTCTGTCATAAGCTTTCTCCAGATCCACCTTAATCATCATCCAACCTTTGGCGCCTTTCTTTGACCTCATAGAGTGAATAATTTCCTGAGCAATAATTACATTATCTGTCCCTTGCCTTCCTTTGATGAAACTACACTGGTTAGGCATAACAATTTTATCCATCTGCAATTTCAAACGGTTAGCAATAAGCTTAGTAATAGTCTTATAAATAACATTACAAAGGCTAATAGGCCGGAAATCTTTAAGGGATTGAGGTGAAGTTATCTTCGGGATCAGGCAAATAAGAGTTTGATTAATATCCCGAACTTTTTGGGGATTATTAAACACATCTTTCACCAGATCACAAACAGAGCTTCCTACAGTATCCCATTGAGATTGGAAAAATAGACTATGAAGACCGTCCACCCCTGGAGCTTTGTGAGGTCCCATGGAAAAAACTGTACTCCTAATCTCCTCATTCGAAGGAATGCTACCAATATGAATGTTGTGCTCTTGCACAAGGTGAGGAAAATAGCCTCTAATTGGAAGCCCAGGTCTAGCAGTATTATACTCTTTAAACAAATTACGATAATACTCCACCACCATATTCATCAGAATAGAGGGATCACCAATCCAATCACCCGCATCATTTTTCAGAGCATCAATACGATTTCTCCTCCTCCTAGCAGCTGTAGTAGAATGGAAGAATTTCGTATTTCGGTCACCATATTTCAACCAGCTAGCCCTAGACCGCTGAAACCAAGTAAGATCCTCCCGAATATAAATGAGATTCAACTGACGCCAAAGATCTTTCTGCAGAATTTCTAGAGCATGGCAAGGATGGTGACTAAGACTACGGTCAATACTTAGTCTCGCCTGAAGATTATTCTTAAGCTTGGCATCTTCCCTAAAGCACTCCCTATGCCAGTGAGAAGCATTCGATCGAAAAGTTTCACTAGCTGTGCCCCAACCTGTACTCCCATTCCAACACTCCTGCACTAGGCCAGGGAAATCCTCAAGAGTGAGCCAGGCTGCCAGAAATCTAAATGGACGGCTCCCTCCAGGATGGTGAGGAGAAGGACCCTCCCAGAGAAGAAGAGGTCTATGATCCGAGCAGTAGCAGGGAAGATGAGTCACAACCCTGTCAGGAAAGGACAATTGCCACTGCTCATTCGCACAAACTCTATCAAGACGTTCCTTCAATCTGCCTCTATGCCAAGTGAAAGTAGGCCCCTGATGACCCAAGTCTTCCAGAGTGCAGTTCATAATACAATTTTGGAAATCATAAATACTCCTCCAATCAGGCGGGCCACCTCCCTCCTTTTCTGCTGCATGCAAATAAGAATTGAAATCTCCCAAAATGCACCAAGCCTCCGAGGATTGCTGTTGTAACCTTCCTAGAGCATCCCACAGAGACACCCTCTCAAGATGCCGCGGACTGGCATAAACAAAAGTAACAGCTTCCTCCTTCCTCCTATTACGCCAAAAAAATTTTAAATGGATAAACTGACGATGAGACTCTAAAATCTGAATCTGAGCTTCATCATCATTCCATAACACCCACAGACCACCAGAAAAACCTTGAGGATGAGCCATAACATGCTTTTGAAAGCCAAAGCCTTTCACCACCTTCTGAGCACGGTCAGCTCCGATACGAGTTTCAAGCAAAGCCATAACTTGAATGTTAAAGCGACGAGACAAGTCCCTAATAAGGGGAGAAAAACCCTTTTTTCCAGCCCCCTGCAATTCCAAACACACACACTCATCAAAAAACCACAAAAAATAATGAGAAAGGATGAAAAACACCCTGTCATTAGACTTTGGGGAGATCAAAACTATCCCGCATCACCGAGGGTACATCAGCAGGTCTCAAACTAGCATTCGAAGCCTCAACATCCTTCGAGCTGGAAAGAGTAACCGGACTCTTGTTGTCATGCGTTATTATGGAAATATCAACCCCATCCTCCCTTTTACCGGAATCTGAGGGAGTTACCACATGTGGAGGAGATGATGTAGAAGAGAGAACAAGAGGCTTTCTGCCATTAATGTCCATTGCTGAAATTTTTTTTGCCGAGCTCGAAGCAATGAACGGCTTAGCCCTTTGCTTAAAACTCTTTGGGACAATAGATAAGGCAACTGCCTTTTTATTCCTGTTAATTTCATCACGTAACTCTTTCTTTTTTTTCCATTTTGCGACAAAGTAGAAGACTTGGAAACGGTAGCCTCTTGTGGTCGAGACAAAATCCTTTCTTCTACCTGAGGAATAACAGTACCTTTTTGAACAACTGGCATAAGCTCAGGGCCACTTAGATTTTGATTTGGCATAGAGGGTCCCACCAAATTTGTAACTGTATTTGAGCTAGGGAGAATAGCTGCTGAAAGATGACGTTTATCACGAGGAAAATTCGAAATCTTATTATTTAAACCCTTTTTCAAATCAGCACTAGCGGTTACCTTAGAGGGGCCATGCTTATCATTAATGATTTGAATATTCTCATAATTAACATCATGATTATCATTAACTTCGTCAGAAATAACTGAAAATCTTGATCCAGCCGTTGAAGACGCCATCTTTGAAGCTCCAGAACCGTTATTTTTTGCATTAATCATTGTAGCCGATTTAATTCCCACATGATTATCGGGTTTCTGCTGCTTGATTTTAGCTGGACGTGAAACAGAATGATTTATTCCTTGAGCATTAATTCTCCTTTGGCCAGTTGTAACAAATGACCCCTGATTCCCGGCTGCATTGATTGCGGCAGCATTGATTGCGGCAGTCTCCATGGTAGCTTTTTCCTTCCTTCCCCGTTGACTCCTTTGGACAATCATCCAAGAACCAAAAGCTTCACCTTCTGCCATCTCACGCCTGACACCATTGTTAACAACCTCTGCACGAACATCCTTTTGGTGAGAATGACTATCGGTTGACACCGAAACCGAAGAACAAGTGTCACGCCTATGCCCATACTTACCACATGCAAAACAGATCATGTGAAGGCCTTCATACCCTACCGTATAAACCTTATTAATGAGATTGAATTTAGACAAGAAGCCTTTACTGAGATCTACTTCTACGCAAATACGCGCAAACTTGGCCCTTTCCGTAACAACCACATCACCAGCATCACTTTTACGTATAGAGTTCCTATCAATCTTCAGTGTTTTCCCAAATAGATCACCTATGTTCCGCAAATGTTGGGAGGTATAGAACTCCATAGGTAACCTCGGAATACAGATCCAAACAGCTAATTTTTTAAGGTTGTCCTCGTAAGGATCAAATAATGGCCGCCACCGTTGAACATAAACATAATGGTCTGCCACAATCCAAGGCCCTTCCTCCAAAACAAAGTTGTAGTCATTCAAATCCGCAAAACGAAACAAAAAGTAATCGTTCTCCATATCAATGAACTCATGTGTCCCCGACAGATTCCACATCTTCAAGAGTCTGTTCAGCAGAAACTTTACACCAACCTTTTTTCCCAAGAGCTTGATAATCACAGCTTGCTTCCAAGGCCTGCAACTCTCCTTATATAGCTCTTTTGAAAATCTGTATGTAGGACATAAAGGATCATCTTGGTCATTTGATTGAACATCCTCCTCCATACCATGAACATCCAACTCCTCAAACCAATCCCTTTCCTCGACGTCATCCGTAACTTTTAGCCCATTCAACTGTAAGAGTGTATTCTTATAAGATATCAGTTTCTTCCCTAACACTTCTTTAGCTTTGTCAGTACTACGCTTCAAGAGATCAACCTCCTCAGTGGATGGTTCACCAATCGCCGAGAGATAAATATCTCCTAAAATACTCTCAACCAAACACCACCTTTATGTTATCCCATTCCCACATCCTTTATATATTAGCACACGAGAAAGACCCCAAGCAGTACGGTCACAACATCATACCAAAATTTATATTTGGTTGATTCATATTTAAATTTGTATTATGTTAGTGTTAGTAAAATATGTCACGTAGAAATTTGGGTCGTGTCGCAGTCAATATACAAATATGCATTTGACCTATATTTTCTAGCTATTATAATTTTGGTCAATTCATATTGTGTTGTATCGTGTTAACTCGTATAAAAATTAATTTATGTCGATGTCAATAACTCACAAATTTCAATTTGTGTGTTATTTTATATCATGTCATATCAACCCATAAAATTTATAGATCATGTAGGTGTTAAAATTTTGACACGAATAATATTATTTTTTATATATTGATGTTTAGTCAACCTGAATTCAAAATCTTAACAAGCACTTGGAACCACAAAAATAGATCAAATTCGGCATAACAATTGAGTTGATTAATTTCATACAGAACATAAATATTCTAAATAAATTATATTAATATAAAAATACAATTATACTATAAATAATATGAAATAAAAAATGATATGATTTATTATTAGTTTTAAAAATCATATATTAAAAAAAGAAAAATATTTATCATTTTAAAAATATAATTTTATGTCATTTTTAATGAAATTATATCATTTCAATATAATTTTATATTTTTTCTCATCCACTTTCATTTTTTTCTAATTGTATAAATATACCAATGATATAATTTCATTAAAAATGACATTGATTTAAAATTACAATTTTTTTTATTAAAAAGAAAAAAGCAAAATAATCACAAACTGACGCGCCTCTCCTACCCGATGTAACCACCTCCGCTTTTGAATCAGAATCCAACCTCCTCATTCACCACCACCACTTCCGGCGACCATTTCCACAGTATTCTGGCTACGCAGCGCTACTGAGACCGGTAACCTCTCTTTTCCTCACTTTCTATGAATCTTAATTTTTTGCTGTTTCTGTTGTTGGATCCATTTCCTTCTGTTGCTTAAAACGAACACGCAAGATCCCATCGCTTCAATCATCTTCACCGCGGTTTCTATTACTGATCATCGCTATTTGAGAATCCTAGACTTTCTATTTCTCTGAATCGCTAGGTTCAATTTCACGTTCGGTTTAGAAGGATTTTTGCCCCCAGCGTTCGAAGCATGGATGTTTTCATTAGTTTTGTCACTGAAGATTAAGCATATAATATTTTCTCATTCCTTATTAAAATTCATAGCAACCGCGGAGGAAAATTGTCGATTGTGATGGGAGTCCATGGCGTCTGGTTACTGCTTAGTGTTCTCACCCGTTGTTCTACTGAATTTTGATTATTTAAAATTGGAGAAAGCTAGAAAATGTCCCTGTAAAAAGAAAACACTAGTATTTCCAAAATTGAATATTGAATATGTGACGCTGCAATTTGAAATAGTTTGATAAATCTAGTGCTTAGTACTGTATTAGTTTTTGTCAAAGCTTCATTTCTAGTTTCTAGGGTTTGGTTTTTTATCGTAAAAGTTTTATTGGGATGGGTTGAAGGTGTTAGTTAGGACCTTAGGGAACTAGCTTTCAATTTTTGAGCCCAGGATTGGTCATTGCTATACTTAATATGCATCAAAATATTTGCCTTCGTAATTAGATTATCCAGATTGTCAGTATATTTATGTTCGGTTTTCATTTCTTTCATGACTTTTATTTCGCCTTTTGGTTAAATAGGTGCTAGCCGGTGCAATTCATCTAAAGAAAATGCTGGTTATAATAATGGGGCTCCAAATTGTGGAAAAACTTAAAATTACTCTTACGGAATTCATTGATTGTAATTTGTTGAGAAGAACATAGTGGTGTGATTTATTCAAGTTGAATAACTGATGTGGGCTTACCAATTCAAAACAAATAAAATTTTAGTTAGGCAGTTGTACATTGTATGCACGTCTTCTACTTCATGGATCATTATAATTGCCCTTCTCTTTTACAGTTATACCTGAATTGCTATATCATTAGGTTTCTTTGCTACTCTTTTAAACCTTTTGTTACTTATACCTGTACTTTTTCTCTGAAAACAAACTTCTTTATATTTGAGATCTATTTCAGGGTTTGAAAATTATTTGATATTTTATGGGTGGGTAAATTGAAGTTTAGAATTCACTTGCTTTGTTCAGTGGGAGTTGAACATATTTTTCGTACTGAATTCTTAGCAGTTAGTTCTCCCAGGATCTTTTCTTGGATTGAGATTTTTCCAGGTGGTGATATCGCAGTTCGATCTTTGAATCAAACTGTCCATAGAGAATATGTTTATGTAAAGAACCAATTCAACCTAAAAGCTTAAGCTATTGGGTAAGGCCTTTTTAATGATTTTATATTATTCTCTAACACATCCCCTCACGCAAGAGCCTTTTGGGCTTGAAGCGTGGATATTGCACTGGTCCAATTTTTGGTTTAACTTGTGCTTATTTTATTCAACTACAAAGTGGGGGGTGGTGAGGATCGAACTCGTGACCACTTAATCACTGCAAGAGTAGATGAATAAAAAACGGAAACAAATTCAAATCCCTATTAACAGAAAAATAAATCTCTAATTAATAGGCACTACAAATCAGGGATATGATTGTATCCCAAATAAAAACGGAAAGATTCTAGTCCTGATTTCATACAGTTTCACATTCATTTATTAACTGAGTTTGGTAATTTTATTGTGTTTCAGAGAAGGCAAGGGGCTTGAACATCTGAATTGCTGGTAAAATGGTTTCCTTTGAGATGAATGATCGAAAGAGTAAGTGGAATATGATATTTTTGTTCTTGTATTGACTATAATGATATTATATGAAGTGATCTACTATCTTTAATGCTTATGTATAAGAATAAATTATTGTGGAGTTAATTATCAACATCAACATCACCTTTATTCTAAATTAATTGGGGTCAGTGGTAGATGAACCCACATGAAAGATACAAAACAGTTGAAAAAATAAAATAAAAATAAAATAAAATAAAATAAAATAAAATAAAATAAAACATATATGTATATAGATATGTATATATAAATAAAATAAAAGTAAAAAAGAAAGGGACAAGAAGAAGTGGGGGAGATGAAGGGGAAAAAGACTAAAAAAGGACCATCTGGAACATAGGAATAACAACAGGTCTAACCCTCCACCATATTTATAGCTTTTCTCCATTCCGTTCTAAGACAAACTGTCCGCCAATCTATATCCCACTCCATTAAATCTTGTTTTACCACCTTCCCCCAAGTAAGTTTCGGCCTACCTCTGCCTCTTTTTGTGTTGAGCTCTTGGTAACAAACTTCTGTTCTTACAGGAGCATCCAGGGGTCTTCTCATCACGTACCCAAACCACCTCAATCTATGTTCTCTCATCTTCTCGTCTACTGGTACTACTCCGACCTTTCGTCGAATATCTTCATTTCTTATCTTATCCATCCTTGTGTAACCACACATCCTCATTTCTGCGACTCCCATCTTATGCTCATGTTGCCTATGTGCTGGCCAGCATTCCGCGCCATATAGCATTGCCGATCTTACTGCCGTTTTATAGAATTTTCCTTTTAACTTAAGAGGGATTTTGCGGTCACACAAAAACCCAGATGCACTGCGCCATTTCATCTACCCTGCTCTGATTCTGTGATTTACATCCTCATCAATCTCTCTACCTTTTTGTAATATGGAGCCCAAGTATTTAAAAGCATCTTTTTTGGGTACCTCTTGACCACTTAAATGCACGGGCTCTTGGTCCCCATCTCGTACCAGAGAAAACTGTGGAGTTAATTATAGTTCCATAAATTATCATCTTCAGTTATTTGGAGGGAAAGGTATCTGGTTTTGATTTATATTAAGGCTGCGCAACTTTTTTTGGCATCTTTTTTTCTACCTTGAATATTTTTTCGGTTTTCTTAATGGTCAAGTAGAGGACTCAAACTAAAGTTTGTGAAAGACTTGTTCTATAGTCTTTGAAATATAAATGTATTCATTATTCAAAGAAATCGGGGGTTCAGTTTATAAAATGTTTATACTTAATGCTGACATCTATTTGGTAACGACCATAGTCATTAAATATGGCGCGTACCTGGTTACCAGCTCTAAGCATTGCCTTGGTTCAACAAGGCTCCTCCAAGTATGCAGCCATTTGTGCCGTGTGCCTTGAGTGCATCAGCAAAGATTCAGGGCACATTGTGTGAAAAAAAGGGTGTGCTATAAAAGCTATGCACGGGGTCCAAGGAAGTGTTGGAACCACTGTGTGCATCTATATTAGGAGCACAATATCTTTTCCAAAGTCATTAAACAGGAAGCTAGACATATTAAACATGTTAGCCATTTTTTTAACTTAATAGTGATTATTTAATTGTGTTGTCAAAAGTAATAGTCACAATTATGATTGTGATTTTATCAAAATATTTTCTTCAAATTGAACCATAGACCCCAACTAGTTTGGGATAAAAGTGTTATTGATGTTGATGTTGATTTTCTTCAAATTGATATTAATGTCATCACCTAATGAAGCTAATTGAAATCTACCAATAATGGAATTGCTTCTCGTGTTGTACACAATGGTATCCCATGCATCATGTTGATTTGATTCAGGTTCTTAGGACTTAAGATGCATGTTATTAGATTGGCCTAATAATAACATGATACAATTTTCAAGGCATATGTTAGTGTCTTTATGTTGTGATATCATATTGGCGGATCTAGGGGGCGATCGCCCCCTCAAGTTTATGCTAATATTTATCGTAGATCCCATTTAGATTTATGAGAAAGGTAGTGTAGCATAAGTCCGTCCTCTTCAAGCTCAGTTTTTGAGCTTCTATCCTTCTTATTCCTCGTGGATGCCCAAAACTTGGAAAGTTCTTCAAATGTGGCTACATTACTCTGCTTTAATTCATGCGAATCTTGCTCTCTTTGGCCCTTTTTATAAATTTTTTGCCTCCGCCATTGACTGGCGGGCAGGATTAATTACTAAACCTTGTATTAGTTATTTTTCGACGTTATATAGTTGGTATCTACTCCTGTCCTATTTGACTATTTGTCAACTTATTTACAATTTTATCTTATTCTGTTTAATGAATTTGATCGGCACATGATACAGAGATTGGATTAGGACTAACTGGCTTTGGTATATTTTTCTCATTCCTTGGGATTATCTTCCTCTTTGACAAGGGATTGCTGGCCATGGGAAATGTAAGTTTCATTCTATTACAAGTTTCTTGCTCAAGTAGTTGCTTCTTATTTGATTTTGCTTAATAACATCTTTTCTGATGCCTTGTTATCTTTGTATCGCCCAAATCAGATTTTGTTTGTTTCTGGAGTGTCGTTAACCATTGGGCTGAAATCCACTATGCAATTCTTCATGAAACGAAGTAATTTCAAGGTAAATTTATTACATGATTACTGTCTCTTTCACATAGTGTCTCGTGCTCTCTCCACGGTAGATCTTCCCTGCTCACCTTTTGCTTTTCTTTCAAGGGAACAATTTCATTTGGTATTGGGTTCTTGATTCTCATCTTGGGATGGCCTATGTTGGGCATGATTATTGAGGCTTATGGGTTCATCGTACTATTCAGGTTTTGTGGAATTTGAAAGAAACTCTTTATTGTTTTTAAGTTTGTTTATATGCCTAAAGCTAATGATGAATTATACTGTGCAGTGGTTTCTGGCCTACAATGGCTGTTTTCTTACAGAAGATTCCCGTTCTTGGTTGGTTGTTTCAACAGCCATTTGTTCGATCGGTATGTAATTGTGATGAATTGAAATGTCTTTACCTGCGGTCTAAGTCTTCACAGAACCTTCTTCCACAATATCAAGAAATCTTTAGTCACTGATCGATTAGAGCATCTTAATTTTCATTAATAGATGTGAAAGATAATGACATAGGTCAGAAAGTGAAAGCAACAATATATAGAGAATGTCAAACTAAAGTCTCATGATACAGACGCTGCAAAAAGAGCTTGAAGTTTGGGTTTAAAATCATTTTCCAAAAAAATAAAATATAGTAAAATCGTCCTGGTAGGACAGGATGAAAAATCTGATGTTAATAGTTGGTTCTATCTATCTGTCTTGAGATTGTCGAATGATATGATGTGGAAGTTTTGCGACACCTTGCTAGATGATCAAGCCTTTAGCATTCATTTGCACAGATATGCCGAAATTTTCAAACTGAGCTTTTCAATTTTCTGTCCACTTGCAGTTGTTGGACCGCTATAGAGGCAAAAGGATGCCTGTGTAACATGGAAATCTATGGAAACATTATGTAACTGCTAGCAAGTGCATTTGTAAGTCCATGTAAAGAAAATACTCTCATATGGAGACCTGACAATGTGAACTGAGTTCACATCCTGATGGAAGAAAATGATTGTCATTTTATTATGATAGTCATTTAGTGCAAAGGAATTTTGCCAAGGGAAAAGGTTTCGGTTTTCACTTTACTATTTTGGCTTCTTTTGATTCAAAGCTTTAGTGGAAAATCAATTGATCTCGGCAGTTGTCAGTTCGACTCCATATACTTTTCTATTCCTATCAGATACCTTTGGGAAGCATCACTGCTAAGTATCATGGTGGCATTTGGTTACACTCATAAAAGCAGTGTAATGATCTTAGATGATGTTAGTGCAGCAATATAAAATTACTTTCTCTTTATTTTTCCCCTACCAAAGTGAGATGGAATCGGAGCAATGGCATGGAATTAAATTTCTTGAAATACAAATATTTTATCCTTAGTTCCATGCCATCAATTTATTAGTTGAAAACATCACTCAAGGAAAATATCTTCAGAATTACAAAAATACTATTACCGAAGATTAAATACCTCATTTACTATAATTGAAAACAAAAAATAATACAATTAATTTTACCTATTATATTCTTCCTTTTATGGTCAAGTTATATAAGTCCTATTTACCTACTCTATTAGTATAACAATATGCTCCACTTTAAGGTAATTGTATTATACCAACATGGATCAAAATTAAATCCTACAAATATTTGGATTTTTATCAAAATATCATACACAAGCCAGTTGAATAAGAACATAAATATAAACCTCTCACTCCTTTTGGCTTTTAATTATTAACAAACTTTTAATATTTGAGAAATGATTTGTTTACAATTTTCTTTTTTACAAATGACATTAAGTATGACCGGTCATACATTCTTGATTGAAGTATGACCAGTTATAATTAGTATAGTTTGTAAAAATTTGTAAACAAAAAATTTATAAATATAATCTTTCCCTTAATATTCATATTCTTTTTAACATCAACATAATACACATTAGCGTAGAGATCCATATTTGCACATGCTCAAAAGTCAACCTCATGATATTTATAATTAGGTTCATCTAATCTCATGTTACATGAAAGAAGATATCTTATGTTCTAGAGACACAAGTGATGGGGTCACTATTACAAAAAAAGAAAAAAAGAAAAAGAAAAAGAAAATAGAGTGTCACAATTTTTGATGGATCTATAGGAGATAAACTACTCTTATATTGCATAAGAGTAATTTTTCCCTTTATTAATTATACAATTCTTTGTGATATTAAGATCTTAAACCATGAAAGGCAATATTGCTAGAAACAATACGTTATGCAACACTTAGGTTACCGAAAAAGTTATGTAATCATGCGAAGATCAAGATGCCACTTAGAAAAAAGACTTCTAACATATATAATTTTTTTTTAATATTTTTGTAGGAGATAAATTTTATATCCTATATACATATAAAAGTATTGTGGGGCCTATGTGAACTTATGTGAGAAGAAGAGAAAGAAAAAATATGAGTCTCACATACTATTATGTGTGTAGTAGATAAATTTATTTCCTGCAACATAAAAAACAATAAACTCTATAAAAAATGGGTTTGATGTTTTAGGAAATAAAATTATTTTCTTTACACACATAAAAATGTGTGTGGCCAATGTGGGGTCATGTGAAGATAAGAAAGAAAAAAATAAATAAATCTTATCTACTTTTATATACATGTGAGAGATAATTTTATCTCGTACAACATGGCAGAATTGAACGGATAAAGAATTCCGTGACTTTGACGTGCTCCCATCCTCTAGCAAGACCTAGTAGCCAGTACGCATGATGAAAAGCAACACCTCATACTAGGGGTGTTCGCGGTCTGGATTGGATCGGTTTTGGAAGCAAAAATCATCCTATCCAATTCCTGTAGATTAGTTAAAACACACATGACATGATTATCTGCTGCTTTGCACTGATTTGGAAATTATATTGTTAAACTGCTTTTGGAACTTATATTGCACATGTAAGTGAGCTTGGGGTAGAAGATCCTTGAGGACCCATTGTCTTACTGAGATTTCTTGTTAGAGATCTCACCCCACGTTTGGGGACGCTTATTTCAGGTTCAGGTAACTCGGGAGTTGAGGCCTCTGGCGGCAAGAGGCCGGAGCTGAGTTAGATTATGCTATTATGATGTTATCCTTGCTGGATGTTGTTTATGTTTTCCTGCTTTATTTATGGATTGCTATTTAGCCTGTTTTTCCTTATGCGGTTGTTGAGTTGAGACGTTGTGGGCATTGTTGCCTTATTTGGTGAGCATGGGGTTTGTCCATGCCACTTGATTTCTGTTATGTTTAAGTTTATTTGAGTTTTATAAATTATCAGGGTTTGTCCGGTCTACGTGTTGTAGTTTCGTGACTAGAGACACATTTATGTTATTTATATATTGAGGTATTTCAGTTAGCTGTCTTTTGCAATTTACATACAGACGATGTTTTGAAAATGATTACATAATCAAGTTGGTAATGAATAATGACGTCATAATTGAAAAGAAAAAGATATTCCGCAATTTTTATTAAGCGTAGCTTAATACGATGACATGTTAACAAACCGGGTATACACGGGGTGTTACACCTAAGTTAGGCGTGACTCTCAAGGCATTCATGTCTAATTTGGGCGAGAATAGTCACACCTAATTTAGTCGTGACTCGTCTGATGTTGACACGTGGCACAAAAAGTTAATAGTTTAACAGTAAAACTTCATAAGGCCATAACTTTTGACTTGGGTATCCAAATCAGATAATTCTTTTTTTGATTCCACATAATTTTTTGAGATCTATGCAATGACATCTCATTTGATATATTTTATCTCTCACAAACACAGTTCAAATTTGCAATAATGATAATATAAAGATGGCTCCAAAGTAGATTAGTCCATCTAAAGTTTGGAAAAGTATGTGATACAAAACAAAGACTGAGTCTTTATGGCTGGATTCGTTGGAAGCTTATGAATGGTTTTCACAAATAAAATTTTTCTTCCTTAATTATTTAAAATATTTATTTAATTATTTTCTATATTAATACAGATTTTTCAAATTAGTTTTTGAGTTTAAATCATAAATCAAATCTTTATTTTGTTTTTCTTATTAATAATAATTTTTTAATTTTTTAATTTAAATATTTATTTATTTTTTATTTTAAAAATTAAAAATTTGATTTTTTAATTTAAATCATAAATCAAATCTTTATTATTTTTTTTAACTAGGAGGCTTATGGTTTAAACGCTCTTATAATATCATTATTACAAATTTGAATTGTTTTTCTGATAGATAAAATATGTTAAATGAGGTGTCATTGTGTGGATTTTGAAAAGTTTTGTGGAATCAAATTTTTTTTTACCTAGTTTGGATACCTTTGTCAAAAGTTATGACTTCCCAAAGGTTTACGGTTTGTAAGTTAATTTTTGTGTGTCACGTGTCAACACCAGACAAGTCACGTCTGATTTAGACGTGACTAATTTGGACATGAATAAGTGCAATAGATCCGTAAATAATTTTGAAACAGATATATATTCGTAATTATTTATTAAAATAATAATATTTTAATTTTGTTGCCAGAAATTTCGCCATATGCAGACAAAACTAGTCTCATCCCACTTTTGCTGGACTCTGTGGATTACTTTCCAGCTTTGTATATTCGATCTCTTTCTATTACTTTTGGTTCTCTCTGCTGGATTTTGTTTTTATTGGATTCCTCATTCCCGTGTTCGGCATTTCGGTTCTCTTTAGCAAAGTCTAGTTTTAGCAAAAATATAAAATCTGCTGGATTTTGTTTGTTGGATTCCTCACTCCCCCACGAGTCTCGTGTTCCTTTCTTTTTCTTTTTCTAACACTTTCAAAATAATCATTCATCAAGTAGAACAAGTCCTTGTTTTTCCATATATTTCAGATTCTACATGCAGCTTCATAGGAGCTCAAATCAACTGCATAAAGTGAATGGGCACCCGTTTTAATGGATGTTGGTGAATCAGCACCACTCATCTTGCTGGATTGCCCTCCCATATTGATAGCTTGGAAACACAAAAAGATCCAATCCAGCTTCTATATTTTATATTTTATATTTTTGGAGAGTGAGGAATCCAATAAACAAAATCCAGCGGAGAGAACCAAAAGTAATAGAAAGAGATCGAATATACAAAGCTGGAAAGTAATCCACAGAGTCCGGCAAAAGTGGGATGAGACTAGTTTTGTCTGCATACGGCGAAATTCCTACAAGTGTTTTGCGGGTGAGATTAGTTTTGTGGGTGCTGCTGCGTGGGACAAAATTCCTAAAGATGTTTTTATGTGTGTGGGGCGAGACTAGTTTCGTGCAATAAATTTGTAAATTAATTCAAAATCATTATGTTTTTGTAATTTCTTATTTATATAATAATAAAAGAAATTTTTTGCCGACAAAAATAAGAATAATTTTTTATTTTTAATAGTAAAGATCGATAAATACTTTTGGGATGCCACGAATCCTCCTCTTGAACAGAAAAAACAAGATTCAGTTTGGTATACATAGGTAATAACATAACGTTCTTTTCACCTAACAACCTGCTAGATATACAGAATACAGTAACATCACAACAATCATTTCCACATAGGTGACATATACGGGCAAGTGGCAATTGCATGTCCCTCCCTATGTACAAGGAATTTGCCAATACGGTACTAAAATTTCCTCATTGTGCTTGTTTTGTTCAACAACAAAATTCCCCAGCTATTGACATGAGATGTAATTACACCAAACTCCACCCCCTCCCATAAGGATAAATGTGAATTTTTTTTTTTTTAGGATCATAATGACTAAGAATATGATAAGAAATGAGTTTATTAAGAAAGTTAAAAAAAAATTATTTGATATACCGAAATATTATAGAGAAAATAGGTTTTAGTTTTCTGCATTTATATTAAGTTGAAGGTGAAATATTATTGAAAAAATGGGTTGAAATCACAAAAATAACCTTGTCTAAAGAGTACTTTTTTTTAAACTCTCTATAAAACTGAAAAAAAAAAAGAATTGAAAAAAAGAGCAAATGTTTCTTTCAAGGGAACAATTTCAATTGGTATATCGGGTTCTTGATTCTCATCATGGGATGGCCTATGTTGGGCATGATTATTGAGGCTTATGGGTTCATCGTACTATTCAGGTTTTGTGGAATTTGAAAGAAACTCTTTATTGTTTTTAAGTTTGTTTATATGCCTAAAGCTAATGATGAATTATACTGTGCAGTGGTTTCTGGCCTACAATGGCTGTTTTCTTACAGAAGATTCCCGTTCTTGGTTGGTTGTTTCAACAGCCATTTGTTCGATCGGTATGTAATTGTGATGAATTGAAATGTCTATACCTG